TTTGTATATAATTTTTCAATTTTTGTTTGCTCGAAAATTTTCACTTTCTGACGAGAGTCTTGGTGATAGTACGATCAAATTCAATTCGTAAAAGTAGAAACTTAAGTGTTTAGTTTCTACTAGTTTCTCCATTTTATCGTTGAAGACGAATGATCAAACGAAATTTCAAACACCTACGATAAGGGGCGAATCTTTTTCAAAAACATTGTGTAATACATGGACCTCGATTTGCAATTCTAATTTCTCCCTTCAATGATGGAATGTGGAATTAATATCAACGAACGAGTGCGATAAATACGTTTATGTGAAAGACGTCGAGAATGAATATGTCATCTCATATCTTTACGTTGACGATATGTTAATTGTTGATAGCAACGATATGATTAAATGTACTAAATATATAATGAAGTTAAGATTTGGCATTAAATATATTTGTTTAATTGATGTGATTAAAATTTCAAGAACATCATATGGACTCGTTATAAGTCAGTTAGATTATGTTGTCACGATTTCTAAAAAATTTAGCAAAGATAATTTTGACATGACTAAAACACTAAGGATATGTTTGATTACATTTTTTTTTATATAGAAAATGTCAATTTTTCACCCAAATTCTTAATTTAAAAGTATTTGATTGTTATTTTTTCCATGTAAAATATTTTCCAACTTTTAAAAATATGTCTAATTTTCCTTAGGAAAACATTTTCTTTGCGGGGGGAGTATGTTTTTGTTTCCTCAAAACAAAGAAAATATTTTCTTTTCTAAGATATATTTTTCATATCAATCAAACATAATAGATACAAGTGATTGAAATATTCCTCCAAATCTGGATTTACAAGGGAATGCTGATTAATTATTTGACCTTAATTCCTCCATCTAATTTGGAAACTTAATCAATTTCAATACCAAATTCAATGACTTTGTTATTACACCTTGACATTGTTGGAATACTGTAGCGGAATTATCCAAAAATTTAAAAAATTATTTAATTCAATAAACAAGATCGTCTAGACATTTACGTGTATGTTATATCAAGAATTAGGGATTCAATTTTTTTTAACCAAAATTCGATTATCAATTCAAGAATTGAATCTGAATCACGAACTTTCAGCATTTTGGATCACGAGCTTCCAGTCTTTTAATTGCAGGAACTTGATGCTTCAAACCTCCAAGTTTTCTATCCATTTTTTAGGGCGACGGTTCCCAACACGAATTCACGTTCTCTACTTCGCTCATTCTCAAGTTCTCAACTCATCGAGATATTTGATCAATCAAATTGATATCATCCATTGATGAATCAAAGAACCATTAAAGTCACGAAAATATATACACAACTCTGTCATGGGATTTAGATGAAATACATAGTGGTTAAGTGGAATTTAATTTTTCGCACGGTCATGCTATAGAATTAAACTCGGCATGTGGTCCGTTCAATACATTTCAAGTGTACTAGTGTCA